GGTTTGATTCCTGGCTGCCCCAGTCTGCATGCCAAATATCCTTGGGCAAGATACTAACCCCAAGTTGCCCTCCGATGCGTTCATCGGAGTGTGAATGTGTGTGAATGCTTATTAGTTGCACTTGAGTTTAGAAGTGCTTGTATGAATGGGTGAATGAGGCATGTTGTATACAGCGCTTTGAGTACTCTGGGAGAGTAGAAAAGCGCCATATAAGAATCAGTCCATTTACCTGATGTCCACATATGTGGACATCACATTTTGGGTTATTTAGACCAAAATACTCAATTTTGCTCTACATGGGCCTGATATTCACTTACGAGGACATTAAACTGCTACTGTTCTGTCGAAATATTAAATGAATATCCTCATATGTGGCTATCATTTTTTTAAGAGAGAAAAATCAGGTAAAAAAAATAATAATCAGGTAATTCTTTGTTTTTACATTCATCTGGCCCCAATATGCTCAAATATCAAAGAGAAATTAAAAATGCATGCCGTGGAAAAGTTTGGGTCTTAGGAGGTTAAATGTTGCATACGAAAATTTTAGGTCAGTGGTAGTTAATCAGTCTGCAGTATTTAAATAACTGGCTTTAAATAATATATATAAAAACTGTAAGTATAAATGAAGCTCTGTTTTGTTAGGTCTGCTAAGTTACACATCCTTTATTTGAATTCTTAAAACAGCTAAAGATAGTGACTGTTTCTTTGATTGATCAGTATTCAGCATTCTGCTCAAGCCAACGTCCACAACTGCTAAATCTTTTGTTACTATATTCATATAAATCAATAATAATAATAATAATAATTACCAGAAATATATCTAATAAACTTTGGTAGTAAAATAAAAGAGTAAATAATGGATAAGACAGTGTGCTCGACATCTTTATAAATAGAACAGCCAAATTCTATGTTCATGTATTCATATCAGTAAATAATAAACATATGTGTGATCAGTAAATACATAATTATTCTTGTTATTTATTAAACAACACATAGTATACAGTAAAATGACAAAGAAAAAAATTTCAGGGCCACATCTTTGTAAAATTATTTAAAAACATCAGAGAAACTCACCAGTGTTGAGGACACACATATCAGACACAAAAGGAAACAGAGTCGCTCCATCGTTCCTGTTTCTGTGCGAAGAGTTGTTCCTGAATGATTTTCTAACGCTGCTCTCTGATCATTTGAAGCCTCCAGGTTCAGTTTCACAAACTGGTGAGTCATCAGCAAACACTGGTCAGGTCAGATCAGAGTTGAGCAACAGCTTCTAATCGATGTGTTTGTTGTACTGTGTGTATCTTTACTCAAAAATAATGCATTCAAACACACACACACACACTAAAGTCAAACATGCTGCCTACTCAGGTCAGTTGCAGCAGGATTTCCTGTCAGTTCCTGTACATTTTACACCAACCAAATAGTGACAAACACCAACGACACTAACATTGACTCAACTGAACTCAATCAGAAAAGGGCAACAAAAACATTCGAGGATTTTAAAATGATGGAATAGAGTTTCCATTTACTCCCATTTTACAGCATTACCGCGGGTTTTGTTAAAATATAAATGAATCTCTCCATATTAATATTACATGCGTCAGAAAAATGTCATTAATTTACCACCTTTCAATACAAAGATCACAAAGTGCTTCACAAAAAAATACCAGAGAATAAAAAAGTTAACGACACACAGGTAAAAAAAAATGCAATGATAAAATGTATAACATTTTTAAATAACAATAATGATTTAGCTTCTCAAGTTAAGGTGTATGTTAACACCAAATATAAAAGAGAAATACAGGCCAGAAGGTAAAATATTGTTGTAGAAGTTAATGAATAAAGGAGCGCATAAAAAGTACCACACAGCAGGCCACGATATTAAAAAACACACCAACAGAGTGGACAGAACCAGTTAAATGACTAGAACTAGGGGATGAGAGCTAGCAACTACCAGCTAGGCTGCTGTGGGGTGTGCACAGCAAGATTTATCATTTATTTCAAAGGCTTTATTTGACTGATTGTTAAGCAGGACACTAACTTATTGATCCAGTACAAAAGTAATAGTAAAAATGAGAAACTGCAGTTTCATAGTTCCAATACAGTATTTTGGGAGATACACTAAGCCAACTACTTACAGTTTTAAAAACACGTGAACGCTTTCGATATTATTTCTCTTAACATGAAAGGAAATAAACCGAATCACAATTATCTTCCCATTAAAATTGTCCTTCTAAAATTCTCATTAGTCTTTTGCTATAACCGTTTCTGTGAACAGATGTTAAATACACACCAGGAACATGGTTATTTATCAAATCAAAAACAAAGTGATGCAGTAATGTTGTGGGTATGGAGCTGGATTCCCTTAAGGTGGTGTCGGAGAGGTGGATGTTGTCCAAGATAAAGACAATGTTGGGTAATACCTCCCACCCACTCATGACATGCTGGCTTGTCACAGGAGCACGTTCAGTGGGAGACTGAGATTACCAAAAAGCACCACTGAATCACACAGAAAATCATTCCTGCCTGTGGCCATCTCCCTGTACAACTCCTCCATCAAACACAGTGTAAACACTGCAATAGCTACGCACGTTTTACACAAGCTCTTTTCTGCTCTGTAATGTTGCTGTCAATATTCTTAATATTTATTTATAACTACATCTGTCAACCCGGGATATTTATTATTTGGTGATTTGTATGTATTGTGCTATTCCTTATATCTTAACATATTGTATTGTTAAATAGTCTGCTTTTGTTAATGTTACTGTACTGGAGCAACTATAACCCACATAATTTCCCTGGGGATTAATGAAGTATTCTGATTCTGATAAATGTATAGACAGACTAAATTACTATAGGAAATATCTTTTCTTTCTTGTTTACCAGTGAGGAGAATAATGAAGCAACACCGCCATCTACTGGAACAAACAAAGAATCACTCATGAGTTTAAGGCTGCTTAAAGAGCAGCACAGACCAAACAAAATGGCACGACTGATTAATAGTAACATATGAAGTGTATTGATATCAGCAGCAGCAATAAGTCTCAGCCAATCTTTCTGATCTGGGTCTGTAGAAGATTAAAGCTTATACTTAGACAAAGAAACAAACAATATGCATGCTTTTATTTTCAGGAAAAGTAAAAGTGGATTGACAAATTAGTGATAGGAAACAATTTAGGATTGAATGTCTCACAAAGACACATAAAACTCTTTAAATCAGTGCAGACAAAGATACAGATTTTAACCATATAAAGAACCCTATTAGCAGAATGTAAGTTCTTCACTAAGTGCAGAAGTACATTATCATCTTCATCTCAACTTTTTACCACACAGACAAGAAACTGTTTTACACACTGTGTTGCTTCACTTCTCATTTACTATCAGTTAAATACCATCGACTTCTTTTGCAAAACCATAGGTAAATCCTGCAAAAACATCAAACACTGGAGAGCCAGAGCCAGCGTGATACATCGAAGTGTGTTACGTCGCTACTTTTCCTGCTTTATTTCCACCCTCTAATATGTTTTCAATGCTTTGCTTTGTGGCATAATTACAGATCAAGTGGATGATTTTTGGATTTAATGACTTAATTTAATGACTCAAATAATCATCAGCAGCCTGCCCTCTCTTCTCTGTCTCAATGATACATGTAGGATCCATTTGTTTCACTTCCCCTGCTGGGTGTCCAATGATGCAGGCTTTACCATTGGGAGGCAGTGGAGCCCCAGTGGTACCTTGTTCTTTGCTCTTGTTTTGCCTTTGAGCTTTCAGGGTTACCTGGATGATTGAGCATGCATCAAGATGTTTCAGGGTTGAGCTCCAGAACTGTATAATCTAGCTCAGCGTCAAAGTCGATGAATGTATTCTCTGCTCTAAAGTAGTAGAAATTTGTTTCTGGCTCAGTCTTAGTCAAATATAGCAAACACTTCTGGATCCTGCTGGAGCTCCTTTCCTTTAAAGGAGCTGCAGATAAATTTGCCTTCATTACTGCAACTGCTAATTTCACTGCTATCATGTGCACTGGGTGAAGAGCTTGTGTGACTAGAACTCGTCCCATCAGAACATTGAACAAAGACCAACACAAACTACTCTCAGATTAAAAATGTGATTAAATTTAGCGATAGTTAACGGTATAGAGTAAGCACTTACCTTAACTTTGATGTTTTTCTCAGCCATGTTCAGCGATTCAGATTTATTATGAAAAGAAATACTCATGTTTCCAAAGTCATATTTTCATCTATCTCTCATATAGTTGCTTTCAGTGTGATGAAATGGGACACTTGGGAGAGCTAGTGGTGTCTCTGAAACCACCTCAAGAAGAAAAGAACCAACTCCTCAGTTATATTAGCTATTTTACCTGCTTTGCTTCCTTCATGAACTTTTACAACTACAGCCAGAATCACCAATTAACCTAACATGGAAGTTCATTGATACTAAAATTAATAATTACACACCAACCTAGAAGATGGTCAAAATGCAGTGTATTTGAATGTCAGGAGTTTAACAACCATCTGCATGTCCTTGTACTAAGATAAGTGCTAAGCTATTACTGAGGTCATAGGTGTTGTTGTTTTTGTACCAGACATTAAAAACCTAAAGCTTCACACTGAACAGCTCAGTCATGTCTTACACACAAAAACAATTCAGGACCAAGTTCAAGACATAGCAAGAAATGACCAAATACGTGTTGACGCATTATGAGTTACCACTTTGGCTTAAAAATTCACAACATTGGCAGTGCAGATTAAAGGTTTACACTTTTACAAGATTCTTGGATTGTAAACTCATGTATAATGGTCTGCTCTGACTTGCAGAGTAGTATGTGGGGAGGGTGTGAATCCCTGGAGAGAGACTGCCAAAAATATCTAAATAGATGAGCGGGAATGGGTTAATAAGTCGAACCCATTGAGGCACAAATATGTTGACCACAGCAAAGAGAAAGAATTCAAGAGGGTTAAAAAAAAAAAAAAGTCCCTGAATTTTATTTAGTTCCATTATCACTTGCAATTCATAAAAAAAAATTGAAATTACATAAAGGCTCACAATCTGAAGGTAAACAGATAAAACACCCAGGACAAGTTTGAATGCTGGTAACAGTGTTGGCCACTTGCGTAGGTTGACACGTATCACGTTAAAAACATGCACATTGCAAGAAATCCAGTGGCAGCACAGTTTGGGTTACAGCAGATATCACACTGGAGTAAAGGTAGGAAAGCATTGTCTCTGCAACTAGGAGAAGAATAAATTTATAAAGATAGGTGACCAATAGTTGCATTGAATTACATCGCAAGGCCAACCATCTACAAGTAGTTGTGGCAACTCTCAGACAGATTGCAATCTGCAGTTATTTGGAAACCTCTGCCAATCAATCGGAGTCAGTCTGTGTTAATGAGCGCAATGAGTTTCCTTAATTAGAGATACATGACTTAAAACAGGGCAAAAAGTTGATGCCCATTTTGACCAACAGCAGTTTTTTCTTTTTAATTTTCTCTATTATCTATATTATTAATTACTCTGACAACTACAGTGAGGTAGTGGTGAAAGTATGATTGTAACTCACTACTTGATGATCAATATCCAATCTGTATTTTACCAATGAAAACTATGACATCCAGACACAAGATAGTTTCTTAGCTCTTTGGTTTTAATATTGACTTTTATTCCCGAAATAGTTTCTTTTTTTGGCATTTCATTTTTTTAATCCTTTTCATTTTGGGACAAATCCCCAATTTAATATATTAATCTGTAAAAAAAATAAAATAAAAGAATACAAAACTGTCCCAAACTATAATTCTAAAAGCATTTTATCATTTAAAGACCAAGGCAGCGAGTTTCTCTCTAACATTCTTCCGTCTCATTTTACATGAAGAACAACTAAAAGAGCTACAGTTAAAGTTTAAAATGGGGTGAAGCTGAGTCAACGTAATCTCATCTCAGCAGTCATCCCTGTTTGTCCTCCTAATCTGCGGCTGCTTCCACTAAAACATCAGATTCAGTCTCTACTTTTTCTTGTTGTGAGTTAATCTGTGATTTGTGAGGTGCTGCAGGAGCCTGAAGCGCTTCTTGCAGAGTTCACACTCAAACGGCCTTTCATCGGTGTGGGTGCGCATGTGCTTTGTGAGATTCCCACTGTGGTTGAACTGCTTCCCACACTCCTTGCACGCGAAGGGTTTTTCCCCTGAGTGGATCATCTGGTGTTTCTTCATATTCATGATCTGGGAAAAGCACTTTCCACACTGAGAGCAGCGATGTGGTTTTTCTGCTGACTCAGCACACCCGTGATTGGCTAACTCCTCCTGATCTCTAAATTCCCGCCCGCACAGGGAACACCGTGGTGGTTTCTCCTCATGAGCGGACAGGTGTGTTTTCAACGTGGACGGGTGACAATAACCTTTCCCACATTTTTCACACTTGTATGGTTTCTCCCCTGTGTGGCCCCGCTCATGGAATATCAGGTGCTGCTGCAGCCGGAAACTTTTGTCGCAGTGTGAGCAGTGAAAGCGCTTCTCCCCGGTGTGTATCATTTGGTGCTTCTTCAAGTTGCTCCTGATACTGAAGGCCTTGGGGCAGAGTCTGCACTTGAAGGGCTGCTCTCCAGTGTGGGTGTGGATGTGTGATGCCAGCGATTCCTGCAGTCTAAACTTCTTTGCGCAAAGCTGACATTGGTAGGGTTTCTCCCCTGTGTGGATTCGCTCGTGCTTCCTCAGTTTGAAAAGCTGTTTGAAGCTTTTGCCACAGTGGCTGCAGTTGTGAGGTCTCTCCTCAGAGTGGCTCAACATGTGTATTCTGAGGTCCCCGCGCCTGGCACAGGTCTTGCCGCACTGGTCGCATTCATAAGGTTTCTCCCCTGTGTGGATCAGCATGTGCTCCTTCAGAGTTCCTTCCCTGCCAAACTGCTTCCCACAGACCTCACAGTGGTAAGATTTCTCCCCAGTGTGAGTGAGGAGATGCTGCCGCAGTGTGTACAGCACGTAGAAGCTCTTATTACATTGTGTGCAGGTGTGAGGCCTCTCTCGTTGAACCTCATTACTGTCTTTGCCCTCGTGACTTTCACCGTTCTCTTTGTGACAGAGCTCATGCAGCTTCAGCCCGCGTTTAGTGTCAAATGTTAGAATGCACCTGCTGCATGAGAACGTCTCCTGCTCCAGCTGGTCTGAATCTTCTGTGGGTTTTGTTCTGCTGCAGTTGTGCCGCTGGTGTCGGAGGACGTTGCTCTTCCTTGCGAAGGACTTCCCACAGTGCTCACAGCGGTGGTGTCGGGGTTCAGACGCAGCATCCTGTTGGTTCTCTGTTTGGTTTTCATTGGTTGAAGACATGCAAGAAGGAGCTGCAAGGAAGAGAAAAGAAGAAAGTGATGATTACAAGTCACAATGCTCAAAATTATTCCATTAGCGTGTTGAAAATGATGTTTAGAAGAGAAGCTTGAAGGACGTAATAAAATTGATGTTTTAATTACAATCAATCTGCTTTTATAACAAGACCAATGTCTGACCTTTTGACCTATGGCCTTAAAGCATTACATACTAAAATAGCATGTTTACCCATAAGATGAAATCTTTGGGTTCTATAAGCTGTAAAAACTTGAAATTTGAAGGTATTTTCATGCTGTTTGCAATTTGCGAACCTTTATGCCATCTTTGTGACATCGTAAGGGATTGTGTTGAAAAAGTGCTTTGTACAGTGCTCTCCATGCCCTTTTATAATACATATATATACTTAATATGGTTTCTTTAAATCTTTTTTCAAGGTCAACTTTGATGTTGGGGGCGCTAAGTTTGTGGATGATCCAGAAAAAATTGTGGGTAATGCAAAGCTTTTACTGATTTTTACATTTGCTGTGACCTTGACATGATTTTCACCAAAATTGAATCAGCTCGAGCTATTGTTGGACCTGAGAACTCCTAGCAGATGCAACAGGGTCTTGCACTAAGTTTATAATACTCAAGCTAATACCAATACTACTCGTACTACTACAACTGATCATAATGATACTAATAACAATAACACTTTGGTGTAGTACAACATTCAAATCGACCATTCGATGTTTTACTTCTACTTCAAATACAAAAAAATGACACTACTGTGGTAGTACGTCTCTTTCTGTGTTCAACATTAGACATTTAAAGACATTTAACAAACAAAAGATCAGAACAAACAAAAGTACATCAAGCAATAATTCATGTGACAAAATAAACTAACTGAAATGAAAAAGGTGCTCTTTTGTGCTTATGATATAAGAAAATTTTAAAACAAAAAATGGGATTATCTCAAATTACAGAAAGAAAAGTCTAGATAGTGACTATAAAAATGACTGACCAAGAACAGTCACAGGTATCACAGCTGGTTTAACATTTTCTTTGCTGTGTGAGGAGATGTTGACATGTGTCAATGGCTTAATATTGCCATAGCAATTTATACTCGATGGTCACGATAAAGCCATTTTAACCACCATACATGGAAAAACTTGCGATACCTGAAGTATATTCGATATATCGCCCACCCCTAATAATAAGGCCTTTTTCTAGAAGCTAAACATGCTCTGAAATTCATCAGGAGAATTGCAACTGGTGAAGATTTACTTTCACATCAGTTGAATGTGAACAGTTGGGCTTACTACAAATAAACCCAACTGATGTTTTTTTTTTTTTACATGCATATGTGAGATTGGTACACACATGTAACATCACAGGATGCACAAAAAACCCTACAAAAACCAAACCTTTTGTAGCCATGCTGTAAAGCTAACAATTTAGGAGGCTAGTGTGGAAATAATATCATTTAGAAATAATGAAATTTCTAGGTTTTACGTTAAAGGTTTGATCTGATCAGCGTCATATTTACTCAGTCTAATGCAAAGACCTCACTGATGATAAATTGGAAAACTTTTGAGTTTTTATTGAAGAGCGTGTCTCTTGCTCCATGGGGAAATTTGTAACTCACACATATGTCGTCCAGTACAGCCCAAACTTCTCATGTTTGATGAAGACCTGAACATCTACTCAGCAGTATCTAATAGTCACAGTGCCACCAAGAGGCAACAGAGCAGTAGTGCAAAGCTAAAATATTGGCAACAAAGCCTTAAAAAAAAACTTTCTGGTGAAAATTTTAAGTTTTAATCAAATAATTTAAAAATTACTAAAGCACTAGTTATTAAACATTCACCTCCAGACTCGGGCTCGGGGGTTTCTGCATCTTCAGCTTCCTCTGCTTCAGTGTCCTGCTGTGCCGTCTCTGCTCTGTCTGATAAAGCATCTTCTTCCTGACTTTGCTGTGACATTGCATCCATGTCCTCCTCTGAACTGGCGCCCAGTGCAGCTGTTTCGAGTGACTCTGATAGTTCGGAACACTGTATGAGCCACGCCATCCCTTTGGTGCCGCTGCCGTTCTCCTGAAACACTAACATTTTGCCATCAGTCTGAGCAAGCTCTTCAGGTTTGTTTGCCACCAAGATGTTGTTTTTGTTTTCTTCTTCTTCTTTATACAAATGAATCTCTGCTCCGACTCTGCTGTCCTGCCAGACTGGGTGCAGCTCCAGCTTTGAGCCCTCGTACTCTCTCCCCAACTGCTCGTCCTCCTCTTTCAAGTTGAGCTGCAAGCTGCTGTGATTATCGTCACTGTTCAGCACTGGAGTTTTCATGCAGTCCACCAAAGAGACAGACAGCTCTCTCAGAGTGAGGACTGGAAGGTCACCAGACGGGGCTGAAAGGACGTTAAGAAGAGGAAGACACAGAAAACTGATGGATTATTTGCTGACCTCTTCAGGGTTTATTGTTTGAACTTTACTTTAAAAGGAGGCTGAAATAATTTGTTCACATACAGATATGAGCAGTGAGCAAAAACCTTAAACTGTTTTAAAATTCAGCCAATCGCCTGTTCACAGGGATTTAAAATAGACTCCAGAATGGTGGCCAAGTTTTAAAACTTTTTATAAAACAGATAAAAATCTATGCATTACTTCACATTTTCCCAAAGTCTCTTCAGACTCTATTTCTCAGAAACAGCAGTTTGACAACAGGGCAACATTTGTTACATATGTAACCAGAGAAGACCTCTAAAGAATCATCAGCTATGCATGAAGCTACAGGCTCATGTGAGTTCAGTTTCTCTCTTCGAGTGGTCATTAGATATGTAAATCTAGACAAAAAAAAGTTTAATTCATGTGAATGCGGATTTTAGCAGATGACTATGTTGCCATAAAAGAAAGAAAAGGCTGGTTTACATTAGTCTTTGTGGGCAGTGTCACAGTTTTATGCCCAAGAAGTAATCTGCCCAAACAGTAAAATCCTGGTTTGCCTGTAACTGTGGAACATCACTATAGGAAATTAAGAACATCGGAGCAGGTCCTCAGGCATGCTGGTACTGATTTGTGGAGCTTGACAGCATGATAAAAATCATACTAGTGATAAAAGCAGTCAGCCCAGACACAAGAAAGGCTGCGTTAGAGCTACCAGCCGAGTGGAGGCCAGTAGCTGTGCAGTTTGTTTTTGGCATTACTAGTGAGTAGTTTGCTTTGTTGAACCATCTCATTGTTATTTTAGCATATTTCTGTTGGTTACTGACTTTCAGTTTAGCCATTTTTTGTTTTTTTGACTATAGCAATAAAAGCATATTATTTATAAAAACTACTGTGTTTGACTTGTTTCTTTTCCCAGCTCTAATTGTTGTTGACTCCCTCATTCCCTTGCCCTTGTTTGTATACTTGATGAGGGTATCTAAGCCTGTGACCAGCACTGTAAGATGTAGGAAGGATCCTGATCTTGTGTTTCTGAATGCTGCTCACCTTCAGGCTCTGCCCTCGGGACCCCCAGAGTCTTCATACAGTCCACCAGGCAGACAGTGAGCTGCTTGCGGCCCAGCATGGACAGACTGCTGACTGACTCCATGATCGCCCGTCAAGAGACCTGAAAGACAGTCAGGTTCAGCATGTTTTGAGCTTTTCTTGCATATAAATATTTTTTGGTGCAGGCCAAAGTTAATTTTGTCAGTGCCAAAAGAAAACCCACTAAAACCCAAATAAAAATATTTTAAGTAGTAATTAATTATGTGGGGATTTGTTTACGCAAGTTTAAGTATGTGTCTGTTTATCAAATAGCCCAATAAAATTACCATTTAAGTGGAAATCTCTAACACAGATGCTTTGCCTTTATTGAATGGGACTAATTGTGCTTATGTGTGCAGTCAACCACCAAAAGCCCAAGACAGCAGTACCTTAAACAACCACTTGTTACATTTAAGCCTCTTTGCCACTGGTAGCTACTTGACCCCGGTTCCAAGCGAGCTGAGTTGAGCCAAAAATGTGATGTAACCAGGCTCCATGCCACTGATTGGATGAGTCATAAGAGTGACGCCTCCGGAAGAATCACACTCTTCATTTTTGAAACACAGAAACGAGGGAAATGGCTGCACACAAACCAACACTGTGGTCCAATGATGAGGTGCTGAGGTTTACCATCAGCTTAGCAGCAGATATACCATCGCCTCGATGTCCTCAACATAACAATGTGTTGTGTTGCTTTGCATTGGTGTCCTATACAAATGACATCACAGGACTTTTGGGACGAATGCTATAACGAATCCTCCCACAGTGAGGTTTAACACCCAGTGTTAAAGGTAAACAACTGAAACCAAGCAGACTTCCTGCTGAAGCATAATTCAGGCTTAAGGCCATGTCTATTCATCCATTGTATTCATCATGGCAGCTTCCACAAACCACCAGCCACTGATATGCATTTCAAGTTTATGAGAATGCATCAGCAAGATTAATTAATGCATGTTTATGACTACAAAACTCTTTTTTTCCCTATAAAACCAAAAAATAATCATTGACAGCTCCTTTACAATGTCAGTACAGCAGGCACAAAAACCTGCAAATATTTAACATCTTCGTCAATAAGAAACGTAAAACATTAACAATCCATCAATAAATATTAATAATAATGACGGTGTTTCGGTGTCACAGTTTACACTGTTTTTATCTGTTTTAGCTTGAGGCACTGCTCTGCTTTAAGCTTCCCGAGTATCTTGGTATGGTTTACTTTACAATAGCCCCAGCTTTAGTTTCCAATTCAGTGCTTAACGTGGCTTTGCGAACTAATTTTCTCCCCTTTAGTTAGCAATTTGAGGCTAACTGTAGCCCAGCTCCTGTTTTACAGCACAGACATAAACTTCTTGTCTGATATCCTGCTCTCCTTACACCGAGCACAAGAGGAAATCCCCGAGCACACAGGGTGAACTCACCAGAAGGAGTTTAGTCCGCTTTCTCCCCCGGCCTAACTCCCGAGCTAAACCGCTCTTGCAGCCCGATTTCCGCTTCGTGTAAACATGAATAAACTTCCACCATCAATTTCTACTTCTGACATGCAGAGCTGCACTCTCCTCTGTTTATAATCTCATCAGGAAAAGAAACTGTGAAGAAGGACGCACAGAAACAACATGAGAAAGAAGTCCGAAACGTGTGTTTGGTGTGTTTTTCCAGCTTTACGCGAAGGAGGGGATGTGCGACCAATGAGCTTTGGGGAAGGGAGGAGAAGGCGGGCTCTTGTGTAGAACTGTAGCCAATCACAGCATGGATGGAGTTCAAACAGAAGGGTCGCGGCTCAGGACAAAATTGATATGAACGCCTTTCTTTACACTGGTCCGTGACAGTGATTGGTCTGATAGTTCAGATTATTTCAGGCGCTGTTCCTCTTATCAGATTTAATTTTAAAATTTCACATAATTTTCATCAGTGTTTCAGTCTAATTACCACAATAAATTCTTTTAATTAGTTTATTAGGGCTTTGTTTTCTTATTTCATATTTGTCACATTTCATGTCTCAAGTGTTCTATTAAACAAAGATAATCCAAGTAAGTACAAAATGCAGATTTTAAAGGATTTAATTTATTAATGGGGAAAAGAATATCAAAACCTGATCCTATATGAAAAATTAGCTGAGTCCCCAAAACGTAATAACTGGTTTTGCCACACTTGGCAGCAAGAACTGCAATCAACTGTTTGTGATAACAAGCAAAGTGTCTTTTGCCTCACTGTGAAAAACCCGCCCACTTGAGATGCCAAACCATCTCCATTCATCCATATATTATCTTCTGCGAGAGGCACGGTTCACCCTGGACAGGTCGTCAGTCTGTTGCAGGGCTAACACAGAGAGACAGACAACCATCCACAGT